GTCTAGAGCTAGGTAAAGAAGCTTCTGGGTGGGCAAACAAGGTTGGTCTGGTCTCCTTTGCTGTTCAGACCCTYCAAGAGAGCAGCTTCAATAAAAAAAGGCAGCCACAGGATAACAAAGGAAACTTTAGAAGTTAACAGGTAAAAGTAGAAGACATCAAGTGGCCAGCGAAAGGATATTCACACCAATATCCTGAAAAAGCCTGAAGAAATCTTACCTAAGGTTTCTTCATTTAACATGTTAATGAGTGATCTGAAAAGTGAGAAATAAAAGCACGTGGGAAGGAAAAYTTATCACCAATAACGAGTTCTGGCAGTGGGTCTGCAGGAGGACTGTGAGAGCAAACAACTCCAACTTTACAGGCAAAATGWTGGGCTTTAAAAGAGCTGCTGTCCTGAAGGAAAGAAACATTGGCATTGTAATACAAGCACAGGGGTTCAACACCTGGCAACAGCTAAAATGAGYAAACTGAGTCTTAGAAATTACTGGAAAAGGGAAGGGAAATGCTATTGTGCCCCTTTAAATCCATGGGGCAGCCTTACACAGTCTGATCCAGTCTGGTCATCACCTTAAGTGATGACCAACAATATACAGCTGCTCAGCAGAACAGGGCTCACTTCTTACCTTGGGGCAAGGGGAGCTGAGGGATGAAACTGAAGAAGGAGAGATATGGAGCTAAAGCAGCAAGGTAGAAAGAGGGAAATGATTACTCACTGTTACCTGCTGTGCATGGGCAGAAAATGGGAGAGGTTAACCTGACCCTGCACAAGGCAATGCCTTCTCACACAAGGCACAGCAAACTGGACTAACTGCTCCAAACATTCAAAAAATAATTAAACAGACAGACAATGGGAAAAAAGAGATGGGCAATAATTCAGGTATGAAAAATGAAAGCTCAGAAACATCTAAGACCCACTGGGAATACAGCTATGAACAATCTGCAACTACCCCACTTTCACATTCAACTGCAGTTAGAGTAGCTTTTATCACACTAAGGTGTACAGCTTCAGACAAATAAAGAAAGAAAGCAAAAAGCTGAAACCCTAAGCAACCATTCCCTAGTATCAGGTGCATCATGTAAGTGATCAGCTCAGACACAATTACACAATTTTAATAGAAAACAGCCGTGTGCAATCTATTCACACGGCAAAGTATGTGCCGGGAATGCTTCCTCTCTAGGCAAATTTCAAAGCACTTCAGAAAAAACATGAGCATGTCAACAAGAGAGATTTATAGCTCTAGATTTATAGCTCTGGACTTCTGTATGGGACCAAAACTGCTTTTGAAACCTGGACTCCTGCAGAAACAAGATTTGGATGATGATGCTCTCTGGGATGACACGGGTCTCCATCCAAGGTCTTCCAAGCTGACTGGCTGCTTGCAGGAAGACACRGGAAAGAAGGGCAGCAGGGCCGGGACCATGACAAACTTAATGTGCGGGGAAAAACAGTGAGGCCACACATCACCAACACCCAGAGGCCACGCGGGATAGCGCTCCCTCAACCCCCCGTGAGACCGGCGAGCCGGCAGGGATCTTTAAATACAACACAGGGTTCAGCCGGCTCCGCTCTGCACGGCGTGGGGACACGCATTTGTGGGGAACAGCCGGGATAGGGACACGGGTGTGTGGGGGGTTCGGTCGGGACAGGGATACGCGTGTGTAGGGAACAGCCGGCTCCACCGGACAGGGACACGCGTGTGTAGGGAACAGCCGGTTCCCCGGGACAGGGACACGCGTGTGTAGGGAACAGCCGGGATATGGACACGCGTGTGTAGGGAACAGCCGGCTCCACCGGACAGGGACACGCGTGTGTAGGGAACAGCCGGTTCCCCGGGACAGGGACACGCGTGTGCGGGGCGGGCGGTGGGTCGCGGCCGCTTACCGTGATCCTGCCGCGGTAGGTGCTGCGGAGCCCGCGGCACTCAGCCGGGAACACCCTCCTCTCCTGGCACATGGTCCCGGCCGGCACGGCGGGGGGAGCGATGGACACCCCGACCAACGTCAGCGCCAGCCGGGTGTCCTTCAGCGCGAACTCCACCGAGGGCACATCCTGCAATGGCACCGAGTCAGCGCGGAGGGGGCGGGGGAGGGCCCGGCCCCGCGTTCCCCGCCGCCCCCCGCACCTGCACGGCGCGATAGATGCCCTCGCTGACGGCGTAGTTGAAGGACTCGATGTGGGCGGCGGTGAGGTCGCGCTGGGTCGTGCCGCGCCGCGGCGGCCGCAGGCGGTGCGGGTGCGGGTCCGGGCGCCGCTCGCTCCCGGTGCCCGCCATGCCGCGCGCTCCTCCTG